AGGGCGTTACACTTCCACATTCCGATTGTTATATACAATAACGACTGCCACCGTAGCATAACATTGTATTTTATTTTAAAGCTGAATAAAGTTTTACTTTCTTCTTTCCTTCAATACAAATTTTACGATCGAATTCAGGTGATTATTTGACGTGAATGTAGAAATAGCATATCCAATCACCATACAGTATTCGATCACCACAATAGATATACTAGTAATCCCCGTGAAGTGTGGTCATTTACACATCGAATTGAATGGATGGTGTAGATGACCGGTGAATATATATTCCTAATAGTTATCACCTCCGAGGTTTTCGGAAAGGTGTTAACAACCCAGTAAAGTGAATAAATACAGGAGCAGGAGAGACCCCTGTTACTTCAGTCGTGTTCAGTTACAGTATCACATCGTACTCTCGCATTTCAATTACAACCAATTTTATAATCGAAAATGGCGAAAGTTCTTATTGTATGGTTGCAACCAGAACGTGATTGCGGGAAAGAAGAAGTAGTGTCGTCTTCTAGGATCAAGTCAAAACAATACGCAGTAGGAGATGAAGTGAAGGTGAAATATCGAAGTACCTTCTATAAGGCTCAAGTTAAAAGAATGCCCGGTGGTAAGTTCCGTACATACATGTATATTTGTGTCGAAGTGATACATTATTAATATGAACGTCCTTCAAAACACTCCACCAACTACAAATACCGCAAACGGAATGTATGTACTTCTGTATTTATCATCGTTCCTTGTATTTCTCAATAACCAAGTTCATATCAGTGATAAATTGCAACGATTTAATGGTTTCAACTCGTGGTTGACACAGGACGTCATCTCATTCTTGTTCACATCTTTACACGGCTAGTCTCAAGTTGTTGGCGCTTAAATTGACGAGATCCGTCTCCTCTCGCATATCTGACGCTCGTTTTGTACTTTTTTCACATGTAATTTCAAATGTGCTTCTAAACTATTTATTTAATTTATGTTACAGGAAAGAGTAATGTCAGACGCAGCAACGAAGATCTTTCTCTATCGAAGATTTCAAAGCCTGTTACCATAGACACGGTCATTGACAGCACGGCAAACTCACCACCACCTACGCCTACAATTGAACAATCTACATTCAATTCTATTTTAGAATTACTACATACCATTCGACATGATCAAATGAAGATGATGTCAGATATCCAAAAGATCAAAGCTGATGTTCGACTTATCAACGAAAACCCGCATCATATGGAATAATTTCACATCTATCTCCATCTCATCGACATTAGACAGACATTACAGCGACCAGTTTGGAAGACAGTTGAGGGATAGAGGCAAATGTAAAGTGGACTTTGTTCACTGTATTTTATTACAACTACACTTCATAGTTGAACTACAGTGAAAACATGTATCATTTTTCTGGAATGATTTAAAATACTCAATTACTCCGTATTTGACTAGTTTCTTCAAGTCATATTATTCACATGAATTGTCCACCGACTTGTAAACACCTTTGTTATACATAAACTCTCCAAGCATATTTGAATAGACGTGTGAAAAATCAATCTTCGTGGTCGAATCTCGACTGGTTTTCTTATTTTAATGCGCAAAACCCAAACTATGTGTGAGAATCTTTGAAATCGCTCTCGTTATTCTCCACTGATTATGACATTATTAATATTTTATTTAGCCGAGTTGTTGAATGGGTTTTACTATCATTTTACTATGAAAATTTATTTTCAATGACGCAATAAAATATTATTTTTATTCTCTTATGTACTTTCCTGTATTATGTCTCTAAACTAAGTATCTGGTATTCAACACTGGTGACGCCATCACCGTATATTGTCGCTACGAGGTGTGTCGTGTATATACACGTATCACGTAGTTTATCACATCTATATCTAGCCTGTCCAAGTTTATAAGTTTTATGATATATGAATTATGTCATTGGATATATGTTTTCTCAATATAAAAGCAAATGATAATATACCGGCC